ATTTTCTGGGAAGTAGAAAAAGTGGAAGGTATTTTATGTACAGATATGTATGTAAACAAAACTACTAAGTATCATATATTTTCTATAGGTTTCCAAATATTTCTTTTTTTGCTTTTCTCTTATCAAAAGAGTTTTAAATACGTACTATTTTTTATTTTTTTTTTGTATAAACACAAAAGCTCATCTAAATTTTTAGTATTAGCAACGGGCTTTTTCGTGCCTTTTCGTGCTTTTCTGAAATTTTACTGAACGCCCAGGCCCGCACGAGTTCGTGCTGACAGCAAATATTCCGGCCCGTCGGGCCCCTGCCAAAAGCCCGGCCCGTGCCCATCTCTAGCTGCAGGTGTTGGCGAGCTGAAGTTCAATGATAGCATTATGGACAAGATATATTATTTGGAAATCCTTATCCTTGTTCTTTTTCAATTTAAGTTTTTTTTTTTTGGTTCATAGGGTCCACTAGGACATTTAAAAAAAGCAGACTATTTTTCTGACAAACTATCCATCAGAAATAGTAATATGTTTTTGCATATGCATTCACTCTGCTGCCTTACACTAATGATTAAGGGCCGGTTGTTCAATGTCTGGTTAACACAAATCGGAGGTAGAAGCTCCGATTAAATACAAAAACTGCTTTATCGATCACATGTTATATGCATGACGTCGAACTCGTCGATAATACTGGCGATAACCAAGCATTGAACAATGGGCCCTTGCCGGTTAAAAATCATTATCGCCGATTTCGACATCATGCATATAACATGTGATCGATAAAGTAGTCGTTGTATTTAACCGAAGCTGCTACGTCCGATTTGTGCTAATAAGACATTGAACAACCGGCCCTAAATATCTTATCCAAAAGAAAATGTTTTTGTGTATAGTACCTACTTCAAATTCCTATATTCGTATATGTATGCAAGCAGGTATAAAACCAAAGTCAACCCAATATTTTAGTAGATTTGCAATTTTTGAAATGACTCCGAAGTTGCACTACACTTTTTCTTGTGTCTTTTGGAAACACTCCACTTTGTAAATTTTCCTCCGATCAAAAACTTCGACACGACAGCTCTGGCGATTAACAGAATTTAATTTGGCTCTCTAGTACTATGTACAAATCTTGAGAAATAACGAATTGGTGGTAGTTTAACCTACCTTACTGGACTTATATACTTGCATATGTATGCAAGTATGAATGAATGATAAAGAGAGGTACATGCATTTGCGCAATGAATTTATAGAGGGTTGTGCAATAGTAGTCAACAGTGTTGTATTTAACATAAGGGGTATTAATAATGTTGTAGCATTAATTTTATCGTTTAGGAATGAGGATTTATAGCAAAAAGGTATTTATTTTGGCTTTAAAAAGGGCATGCAAAAATAGTTTATTAAAATTTAATAAATAATTTCTATCTACGCCTGGCGGACTGACCTATGAAGAGAGTGATGAGAAGAGAGCATGTGATTGCACCATCACCTAAACGTTTACGGATGTATTTGCCATTGCATCGATGCCAACGAAAATTAGTTGTAGTCAGTTCGAGTCTCTTGTTCGTGCCGTTCGCTTGTGTTTTCGAATATTGTATCCGTAAAATTCTTTGGTGCTACGCTAAAATATTTTTACAAGATACAAACAGCTACATACATACCTATATGTATATATGCAGATAAAAGAAAAAAAATAGAACTGAATGAGTTTTTAGTGATTCTTGAATACTAAGTAAAAAATCACACTTACATATGTGTATATTGCATATATGTACATATGCATTCATTTAAATATTTGTTTGTGCATACCTATTTCGTCGCCAAAATTTGATGAAAATTGAATTTCGCATCTAAATAACCCTGTGGGTGAACATACGAGTACATACATATGTGCATATGTACACACTTACATACATATGCATGTTTCTAATATACCACATTTTGTAGGAATTGATAAAATTTCGGTTTTGGTAGTGAACATAAAATGAAAACCGCCAGTTAAAAGTAATACGAAGTGAGAAAGTGTGCGTTAACTTCGTTAAAGGCAACAAATAACTAATTTTTTGCATGCAAAGAGGTTAGTCCAATATTTTTTTGCGAGAAATCAATATGAATTAATAAAAGGAACTATTTTACACATACATACATATGTATGTAATAAAATGTTGCCAGCTAGTGCGCCCTAAAGCAGACCTTGAATATACACATACATACATATATACATACATACAAATTTACATTAGGCATATGACTTCTTTTTAAATCAAATACAAATACGTACTAAATATGTAGCTACAAGAAGAGGATAAGGAATGATGTAAAACCAACAAAAATAACGTTTTTGTCAAAATTTGGTACAAAAAGTTCACGCAGGGTACTCCAAGATAAACACAAATTTTTACTAAGTTTGTGCCCCTGAGTTAAGCGAACGTACTAAAAGATGTTTGTACCAAATTTTGACAAAATATTATTTTTGTTGGTTTTTCATCATTCCTCACCCTCTCCCATAAGTATATTTAATTTAAAAATGTCATGTGCCTAATGTAAATACATACATATGTATAAATGTATGTACGCATATACATACATTGTTGCAGTGAAAAATATATTTGAGTGTTTGATTTTTAATTTCTTATGTTAACCGAATCGATCAACAGTGATTTCCACCTAGACAACATACCTTTAAAATTTGTAGAAAACAAGAAGAAGATACAAGCCGTATCCAGCCGGAAACTTTTTGAACAAAATTCTATTTTGTCATTCTAATCTTCACATTAACAAAGTGGTAAAACTTTGGTGGCGGTTTCTGTTAACGAAAGGATACACAAAAGAGAAATAGGTAAGTTCAAAATAGAATGTTTAAAGAATAGTTACATGTGCATTAGGGCGGGTAGAAAATCTAATTTTTCTCAAACCCTTTGGTAATAGTAAAATATATTGTATCAACAACAAGCCAGAAAAATATTAGTATTTTATTTTAATTGTAATGGCCCGCGCATCGACCGGCAAGTGACCCACAGCATACTAGTCGAATAAGACCAAGATCTTGTTAAAAATTCTGGGTTCAGCAAAAAGGTTTGGTGTATATTATTAGATAATGAGTCCGTTAACGCAGGACATAAAGTCAAATATCATTTCTCGCAGCCCTTTAGCTTATCGTTAATCTCAAAGTTATCTGTTTTCAATAAAATTTTAATTGTTCTCTTGATAATTGCACTGGCCTATAGTCAAAAGATGTAAAGAACTGCGTTAATATTGCTGCCGTGCATTTAGGTCGCTGGTTCCAAGTAGTCTAATCTTTTTTTAATATTAGCTATAGTTTGCGAATTTTTGTAAATTTAGGAACAATTTCGGTGGCTCTAATAGAAAAGCCATTATTTTCCATCATCGTGGAAACATTTTGTTTATGCAAATGAGTATGGAAACACTGAACACACACACAGCTTCTAGAAACACTATAAGTTTACTTATGTTTATGCATACAATATAAAAATATCAAATATAGGAAAATGTAAAAAAAAAATTTGGTCAACATTTTTTTCATCTTAAAATAATTTGTTTATAGTCTGAACGATTTTCATCATATTATTATTATAAATCAGTAACTGTAAGTCCCGCCTTCAATTTGGCAATTATTACGTGCGAGTAACATTTACCAAAATTATATGGAACAACTTTTTTCAACATACTAAAATAGTATGTACTGAAGTAGACAAAGCACAAAATAAATGTTCAGAAAAGTCCAAAGTGTTAATATATTTTGGAATTCCAAGAATTTTCTAGGTTTTATACACTAGTACCATGAACATAAGAATTTTTCGACAATATGTGATGCTAAACATATTTACATTTTAGGATTGATTTCAGAATAAATAAAATTCTCAAAATTTTGGAAAATATAAAAATTTCTAAAATATCAATAATTTTGAACATTTCCAAAATATTCTCATTTTACCAAAATTTCTAGAATCACCCAGATTTCAATATTTTTTTAAATTTTGGAAATTATTCTAGAAATAAGAAAACTCAAAAAATTTAATAATTTCATAAAATTCAAAATGGAATTGGAATTGCTGTTATTTTCTACACCCGCGAAAATATTCAAACTTGCTGTGACTTTCAACTATATAAAATAGTACACATTCGAAAATACTACAAAAAAATAAAAAATTGAAAATTAAGTAATTTGAAAATTTTGAAAATTCAGTGAATTCGAAGAACTGATAGGCATTTTTCACCAGTGTGTTATAATTATATGATACAAATATACATTTTGAGAAAAATAACGAAATTGATCGATCATTGCGCAATTATGCGGACGCAGATACGGTCAATAATTGCGTGATTTTGTAAGTGCTCACGATGTTGCAGCAAAATCACACTCACGTCTGTTCACAGGGCGGCTTAATAATTTTTTTCTACAAAAATGTATAATATTGTTTTAAAACTGGTACTCGTTCCAAAAGATAATTTTTCAATTCTCTCGGCACACGCACAACGCAGTTAATTGCACTGCTTTATTTTTATTATAGGGATCAGGGGCCAAGCAAAGACCACTTTTTAAATATTTGCATGGAAATTTTTTTAAAGTTTTCATTGAAGAAAGCATTGCTAAGGTCATTTCAATAGGTAGCAACTAGGTCTGCACTATAAATCGTTAAAATTTGATGAAATGATGGGTAACTCTGGACTGTTTTAACCAGATTTTCTTTAATTCTATAATAGACAACATACTTCAGATGACTTGAAATTTTGATAAAATTTTATTTACAGTGCATATAAAATGAATTCAAGGTTTCCTGCCAATTCTGATGGTCTTAAAGTACTGCCAGCCCATGTTGAAATTGCATTGTTGCAACTGTAAAACAACATACTTCAGATGGGCTGTCCTTATCACAAGACATTATTAATATTATAAATAGATGAAATATCTAGAGCAACGAAGCAGCTGAGAGGAACTTACTTAAGTATAAAGTTTGCTTCCTGGCGAAAAGAGAGAAACCGACTTCTAATTAAAATTTTAGAAAGTGAACTTCAAATCAAAAGTAATATTAAAATACATATAATGTTTAGAGTTCTTTTACTATTTAAGCACTGTAAGTGGAAAAGATCCCATTATTGCTATTAAAAAATGTCATATATACAAAATAATTTATTGGCTCCTGTGTGCAATGATATTATAACGGTATTTCGTACTGCATGTTAATGTGTATGCTAATATTAAAATGAATACCATTTTTATTTTTTATGAATAACATTTTATTTATATACGAAGGTGTTATTAAACCAAGTACTCTGGCGTTTTAAAGTATTATCTGCTATTTACATTCATAGTTCTGCTTGGAATAAAAGTGTATTGAAAAGTGCTGATTTTTATAGCATGAAGAATTCTAATGTACTGATTTCGCGCCAAAAAATTTGGCAACCCTAGATGTGTTTAAAAATCATTTTATTTAATAAAGGAACAAAGTGAATAGCTCTTCGTTAAGAGCAAAAATTATTTGATGAGCACATACATACATAATTCTGTATAGCTAAACATATTGACATATGCACATTCATAGATATGTATGTAGTTATCAGAATTTATGGGTTGTGGTCATAAGCCGAAAACAGCAACACTAACGCCTACGCTAGCATGGCGCCCCGCCGCACTGTGGGGAAAAAGCCACCTTATTTCACAAAACCTGCCTATTCTCAAATTCGTTTATTTTTATATTTCGTTAATTTTTATAAATGTTCGTAATTAAGTTTACTTTCGGTAGTGCCGCGGTTTTTAGGAAGTAAAGGAATTTCTCCAAAAATCAAGGGACTTTTGTAAAAAGGCATAGAAAGTTGAGTACATATAAAATACTAGAAAATGATTAGCGACTTACTGGGTTTTACCTTATGACCTTAAAAAGGGCTATAAGTTAGAAAAAAAAAGGTTTTTTGGGCTTCTCTTAATACAATAATTATATTTCTCATAATAAAAACTCAATAAAAATATTCAATTATTATCTAATATGACAAAATTGCAAAAAGAAATGTGTTTTTCAACTTTCAATAATTTTTTCAAGGTCATAAAATAAAGCTACTTTTCTAATGCCACCCGAATGATTTTTCTAGGCCTTTTATTACAGCAGTTATTTGATTTATAGACAAATTCATACACTGTGACCCGCCAATGTTTTTCACTTCAAGGTGGCTACTAAAAAGCTTTTAGCATAGAATAGCAGCAACGAAAGCGTGATCACAAATTCAGCAGCGACTCACTATGACTTCATAGTTACTCATACAACGAAAGCTAAACTATACACATACGTTAACACATATCTTTATGAATATATGCCCTGCAGGAAATGTGTCTAACTATAAGATATCTTTATGTTGATTAGAAAGGAGCTAAAACTCACTTATTATCTGTATATTTACTTTGACGAAAGCTAACAACATTTGTATGGCGATGGCCGCGAAATAGTCAAGGGTGGTTACCTCTGCATAAGATGTAGTCAAGGGTGGTTACCTCTGCATTTGATGTAACTAACTTGTAACTAGCTACTTTTGGACATAAAATATCAATAGGAAAAACAAAATATTTTTTTTTATATTTTTTATTTTTATTTACTTTATTTATTTTATTACATTTCATATTTGTTTACATATTCTCCTGTAGGTGGTCCCATATTCCAACTCCGTCAGACATAACTTCAAAATGATAATATAAAATTTCGATCTCCCTTTTATTTGTACTCAATTCGAAAAAGTATTTGCGAAGTGCAGGATATTTAAATAGAAACGCGTTTAAAGAAAACAAGTTAGAGCTTTACTCCTGCATTACTTGTCCACTTATTTCAAGTTAGCTTTTTGTAGCTAACCACAAATTATATATTTTATAGAAACCCCGCAAACTCAATTTGTTTGAATGATTGTAAGAAATGTACGTTTACATACCTTTGGCTGTAGCTGAGTTTACAGAGGTGCTGGCTGTTATTGGTTAGATTCCAGAAGATCCCAAGATGTTGAAATGTTAACACAAATTTTTGTTTTGCATTTCCAAGCTATTAAAAAGCATCTGTGAAGTGCAGAATGGAAGCGTATTTGAAAGAAAAATCCGCCAAACACATATCTTTGTAAAGTAAACAAGCCCCGCGCTGCATCCCTTTTTTGATAGTTCTGAACTAGTTCTAAATTCGACAGTTAAGGTCTAGTTCGTTCTGCATTCCTTTTTCTATAGTTCCCAACCAGCTCTAACTTCGTCACCTTAGATATAGATTTTTAATTAAAAAAAAATTAAATCAAATAGTTTTTTAAAAGTAGCACATTTCGCTGATTTTGGACTGGTGGGGATCTAGTTACTACCGAACTGGTTCGTTTTCGGCGATAAAGATCTAGTACGAAACTAGGAATTTGATTCACTAGTCCGCGGTTTCCCCACAGGGCAAATACAAAAAAAATTTCTCGGTACTCCTACTCTTCAAATGTCTACGAAAACAAGAAAACACAATGCAAACTTTATGCTCCTTTAGCTTTAATGTGAAGGCTGAAATTGTTTTGATGATTTCATTATTTCCTTTAAGTTTATTTATTGATCCTGAAAGCTTGCTGGTGTATTTGTTTTTAACCCACTTCACAAAAAAGATTTTTATTTTGTTTTATGTATGTTACCACATAACTTTGGACCACGTTAACCGATTACTATAACTCTTTTTTTTTAAGGAAATGTGTTACTTCACAGGTAATCCCATTCTAGTTTGGTTTAAATCCGATCATTGCATCATAAAGAGATTAACGATAATCATAGATTTTTATATGGGAATTCGAGTCGGTTTTGCTTTTGTGTTTAAGAATTACTTGTTT